ACCTCAATATAACGAATTTATCATTGTCAGAACCTCTACATTGCGAATTTAACCTCTGCATAACGAATTGTCTACGTCTTTCCCTTGATATAACAAATCCCCCACCCCAGTATTGTTTTTAGAAAATCTGTTTCTTTATCAAATGAAATGGAAAGGTGACGTCATCGCTTGCGCTCACATTCGTCTGCTCCGTTCTACACATCTCTCTGTCTGCTGTCGCTGCGCACGCAATGTTGCAACTGAGAACTGATTTCATTCACTGAGGACTGATGACGACGTAATCTGTAGTTAAGCTGTGATTGGGTGATAAGTAAATATGGCGAATTGTACAATTTTTGGATAAAGAGAAATCTAAGAAAGAATATAAAAACAAAAGCAAAGAGAAAGAATAGCAACATCGTTATTTTAACATTCCTTAATTTACGAGTGTTTTTATTATCTTTAAGTTGGCTATGAATATGCACTTTAATAATGACTTATCTAATAATTTATTGCTTTCAAAACGATTTGTTTCAACTAGCAACACCAATGCTATAGTTAATGATTATTATTGACATTCCTCTGTTGTGATAAATCAGTACGTTACTGTACTGTAAGTAGCCTACCGGCCTATCACGGAACAGTCAGTAGCTTATAAAACTTTCTACTGTTTTGTTTTGTTTTTTACATGGTTTATGACTACGCAATGCAGTGTTTGGCTAGGTTTTAGAAGTTTTAGGAGGGTTAAAACAAGCTGTGATTTTAAACTTACAGTTTTTAACCTGTACCAAGGTCAACCATTGTCATGATTGCGCAATATTCAAGATCCCTCACAGGGTGTCCACTGAAAATTTGCCATTGATTTCCATGACTTTCCATGACTATCCATGACCATTTACCGTTGATTCCCATGACTCACGAACTTAACTCGAAAATTATAATGTAACATACACACACAAAATACTGCCTAGACATGTTATTTCACAGAAATTACTGAAATATGTATTAACAGATAACAATGGAGTAATACATTTTGTAAAAATATGGTATTCAAAATATGGAAGGAAAAAAGAAAACCCAGTCTACTCCGCCCCCATAGCTGGCCAAGTTCACTCTCCACTTTATTTTTTCCTTACTGTATGCTTTTTATTATTAATTTTTTATTGAGTTTACAGTGATTCCAAAAATTAGCTTACCAAAAAAGATATAACTTAAGACAAATCAAAACATTATAACAATATTTGTATTGGAATTTGAGTTGTAATAATCAAGTTGTAACATTTTAATAACCTGTACACTACTGTTGCAACAATATCCTACAAATATCAAATTAAATTATAAGATAAAGTAGGTACAGATTGTATTGAACTATTAAAAACTCAAAACTCTCATCAACTAATACAAACACTGTAATAAACTGTTGTGAAGTGTTGTGAATTTATGAAAAATTCTGAAGCTACAATAGACGGTGTTACAGCCGACTAGAGCATTAAGTCCCGTCAAATCCATGCATCATTGGGGATTTCCATGACTTTCCATAACTTTTTGCCTATTTCCATGACTTTCAATGACCAGAATTTTTTTCCATGACTTTCCCTGACTTTCCAGAATGTGAACACCCTGCCTCACCTTTATTATGCCGGATAATTTAGGTTCTACCATTGACTATTGGATACAGAAGGTTCTACTGTACAATGAACACTGTACTGTAAAGTATTGTAGCCTATGCTTCTTTAATTGTGTTTTAATGAGGTCAAATCCCGGCCTATATTGACCGACGCTGGTTCTGAACCTCGACTTAGCGAAATTCCTGCAAACCTAACCTCTATATAACGAACTTCATTTTAACGAAATCCTTGATATAACGAATATTCAGTTCGGTCCCTTCAGATTCGTTATACTGAGGTTGGACTGTATTTACCCCGAGTTTTAAATACCTGGGTATTTTACATCACTACTTGTAATATATAAAATATGTATTTTTAGACAATCTTTAACTTTTGTATTTACAAAAATCCTCTAATACCAATAATTTGTGAAATATTGTCAAAAAAGTGAAAATTGGCCGCCATTTTCCAAGATGGCGGCTGAAGCACAGCCGGGATTTATGGGGACTTTTGATATTTTATTTATTTAGGCTTACTAAACAACTGTGCAAAGTTTCCACTTAGTCCGAATTTGTTAGGTCGAATGGCAGTTTTATCCCTAAAATTCCTGGACTATAAGCTGCAGTACGTATGCTACTAGTACATAACAATAATAGCCAACTTTAACTTAAGTTAAAAATCGAGGCCAACAAAGACATGAAAGATGTAAAGCTGATTTTTGCATGGTGATAGTGTATGATAGGAAGGGTGTTTTCTTAAAGTTCCCCGAATTTCCCCCCCCCCTGCTTCCCCTTAAAACCCCCCCTCCCCCCAAACACCAGATTGAAAGGGTAGTGTTTTACTAAATCACCTATATCTTTTGGTATAAACGAGCTATCAGCATAAATTGTTTTTTCTTTGAACTCCCTGTTAAATTACTATAAATTCAGAGGTTGCTTAGCTTTTTTGCAAATAACTTTTAAATGGTGAGGAAATCGACCAGAGTGGAAGTTGATATTCTGAAAGAGAATAAAATTTCCTACAAATTGGTACCATGCACTTCTTGGATATACTCATAATAAGCAGTCAAAAGGGCTGCAGGCAAAAGGGAGGGAGTTCATAGAAAAAACAATCACTACGTTTGATGATTTTATGCTAGCCTTCATCAAAAGATATAGGTGATTTAGTAAAACACTACACTTTCAACCTGGTGTTTGGGGGAAGGGGGGGGGGTTAAGGGGAAGCAAGGGGGGGGGGAAATTCGGAGAACTTTCAGAAAACACCCTTCCTATTATATACTATCACCATGCAAAAAATCTGCTTTATATCCTTCGTGTCTAGGTTCTCACATAAAGTGACTGGGCTATAAGAGGGTAAGCACTGGGGTACGTGCACTTTAAGTGTATGAAAAGGGCAAGTAAAGCACTCACCACCTTTATACACTCCATTTGCGTGCATTTGCTGTACTTAACCCCTAAATAAAAAAAAAGCTCAGCTGTTATTTTACTTAGGACTATAGGAGAGCATCACTTACACCCTTCATCCATGCATCTAACTCAATTTTTATTAAATTGTTACTTGCCCCTTCATTCACCCAACTCTTCAATTGTTAAAATAACTAAAGTATACCCGAAATTTAAAAAAGGTAGCACATTAGAAGCAAGCAACTACAGACCAATTTCCCTCGTTTCCACCTTCTCCAAAATATACAAAAAAGTTGTTTTAAAAAGACTTTTAGACCACTGCACAAATCACAACCTACTAAACAACCTTCAACATGGATTTACAAAAGGGAAATCCACAACAACAGCAATAATTCAGATGGTTGAGTCCCTGATTGACAGCCTAGATGAAGGAAATCTAACAACAGGAATCTTTCTTGATTTCAGTAAGGCATTTGACTGCCTTGACCACCAGCTAATCATTAAAAAGCTGGATTCCCTGGGGGTATCAGGGATAGTAAGAGAATGGTTTCAAAGCTACCTTACAGACAGGAGTCAGTTTGTAGAACTAAGGCACAGAGATAACAGCCTAATAAGAAAAACAAGATCAAATTTTCAACCAATAAATCGAGGAGTTCCCCAAGGTTCAGTTATGGGTCCGGTACTGTTTATTCTTTTTACCAACGATTTGCCGCAACAAATAGGAGACGCCTGCCTTACTCTTATGTATGCTGATGACACAACCTTAGTGTTTAATGAACCACTAGCTGAAAATCTAGAAGTAAAATCCTATGTGTCACTCAGTATGGCCTACCAATACTGCTATAACAATGATCTCGCAGTAAACACGTCTAAAACAACTCAAATAGCTTTTGGCCGTAAATCTCAAGAAGTGCCACGACTCCCAGATGTAGAAGTGGAAGATGAAGCTAAGTTTTTGGGCATCACACTCGACAAGAATTTAACCTGGACCCCTCATGTGGACAATATATGTAAAAAATTAAGTTCAACCATCTATGCTCTTAAACATATAAAAAATGCAACAGATGACATGACAACAAAAGTAGCATACTTTGCACTTTTCGAGTCGCATATGAGATATGGACTTGTAGCATGGGGTGGAACCTCTGTCACTAACATGCAAAGAGTTCTCAGAAAACAAAAAAAGGCAGTCAGAATAACTGCAGGACTCCACAGACTCGACAGCTGCAGGGAAGCATTCAGGTCACTCAAAGTACTTACCCTTGTAGCACTCTACATCCAGGAAGTTGTGTTATTTGCAGTAAGAAATAACCCAACAAGGCGTGGCGAAATGCACCAACACAACCTGAGAAACACCATGCAGTACAACCTTCCACAACATCGCACGGCACAGTTTGAAAAGAAACCTTCATACGCAGGAATGAAAATCTACAACAGGCTACCTCCAGATCTAAGAAGCAAGTCAGAAGATGACCTCAAACCAGCTTTGCATCAATGGCTCATTAATCGACCTTTCTATTCCTTAGAAGAATACCATCAACAGGTCTTTGACCAAACAACACCTCAACCAAACATTTAGAAAAAATTGTAAATTGACGCTACTACTATTCTTAATGAATGTGTAAATAAAGATTATTTGTCTATTGTCTATTGTCTATTGTTTCAGCAATAGGGATTGCACTATTTGTTTTATAATTATAAGGACCATAACACATTTTAATCAAAACCAGGTTTTTCCTAAAATCTGATTTTCCTTTTTTATGGGAAAATAACATGAATTACAATAACTTATGAATAACTTTGAAAACCACTTTTTTGAGTTCAGGGTGGCCCAAAACAGGTATATCCACTCAAAACTCAACTTCGAAAATTTTGACGAAAACAATAGGCCCTACCTACTTTCTCCATATACTATGGTATAGGCGGAGAAAGTAAAAATGCATATTGATATCTATAATTGATTTTTCAGGTATCACTATAGACACATCACAAAGTAATATTTATCACTTACTGTGCTTTGTCTTCGTGGGTTCCTGGGTGAGGACGAAGGTGATGGTGGTTTACTAGGGAACTCATCAATGTACCTTTTCCATCGCTTTTTTGATTCAGTTGTCGGAGTTGCTACAAACTAAAAAAGAAATTGCAGTAAATAATTTATTACTAACAAACCACAAAAACATTTTTTTTACCAATATTAGATTAATAGGTCAATTATGTGTTTACAAATTAGTATTGAGGTGTATTAGATAATTATGATGGATGAGGAGTTTAAAAGATTCCAAGAGATCTGTAATTCAAAAAGTTGCTTGAATTGCTCATTTAAAACTTTAAAAGTATTTATTATAAATTATAACATAACTGATGATGCTCCTACGGTTTTTAATTAGGGTGTGACATAGTGTAACAGGCCAAATGGGTATGGGGGATTAAGTTCAGACGGTATTGAGACTATTTTAAGAAGACTTCAGTTTACCTGGTGTTTTCAGAGGGAAATGTCACATTAATAGATGTAATGCGACGTCTAATGACACATTGAACGACTAGAATAGAGGTTGAAAAGTTATTCTTTATTGATAAACTTCTAGACAATGACTGGAGAGCCCCAGTGGCGGCTAGCCCATAAGGACTCTCGGACGCCGCTCTTCCAGCAATTCATAAATAAATTAAATTTTAATATTCTCCTCTTCAGTTAGCTTAGTAAGGACCAAGATGTATGGAGTAAAAGAGGTGGGCCAGACAGAGCGGACAGCACGTGATGTTGTCACTGTAGTCCCGGCACCATAGTTATTCAGACACGATCTAAGCTGATATGGAGGTTTTCACGTTATGATACAAATATCTTTGTCTACTAAATAATTTTTCTTTATGATTTTGAATTAAAATTAATTGTGGCCAGTTTGACAATAATAAATAGCCAATTAGGCCTGTATGTTGCATAGAAATTATGAAATGCGGGCGTCTACCAATACAGTCAGAATAATAATAAACACTTCAGAATCATTTTAGAAAAATATATATAACCCTGCCCTTTTTACTGGTTAGTTAATAAAATATATGTTTTAGCACTAGGTAAAAAAGTTGCCTGTTAGAAATTACTTCAACTGCTTTTTGATGTTGGTTATAAATAAAAAGCGATCCATATTCATTTTTCTTTTCTTCCTTTTCTACTGTATTGTCAATGAGGCAGAATGTTCTACAAAATGGAAATTTAGAAAAGTTGTGCAAGCTGCGTTGTAAAAATAAAACACCGTAATGCAGGTTAAATGTAACTTGAGATTTTGGAAAAGGAATTTGAAAAACAATGAAAATTAAATATTTTAAACTCCCTGATATGAAAAAACCGCCTCTGTGAAGAAAGTAAAAACATTAAGCCATAAAGTTGGTTGTTTACCTCTAGACCATCTTGAGCTATTTGCTCAAAGAAGAATAGTAGGGGAGTCTAATGAGATTGAAGTTTTTAAGCACGCAACAACAAATGAATGGCAAAGAAAAAATAACAAATAAATAAGATACGTCAGTAGTAAATTGGAAAAATTTTTAAGAATTCTAATACTGTAATGTATTTTATGACTTTACATACATACAATGGCTATACATTTACAATGGCGAGTGATACATTACCTTGTAAACAAAGCGTTTTTATTTCAAATGTTTTTTTCTATTCATAAAAATATTAAGTTCCATCCCTAATTACACTAATCTAATAAATGTGCATTACCAAAATGCCTTTATTTGGTAAATGCATGGTGAAAAATGTTTGTTTATTTCAATAATTTGAAGAGTTCTAAGTCTAAAGGGTATCTAATTAACTTACTAATATGTTAATGAACAACTGTACTTAAGTAGGCTATCCTAAAAATGTATACATCATAAAATTATATGCTATCTCCCGAATCAGAGTACATCTATTCAACGTTATAACAACGATTGCAGAAATGGACATCTATATCTACAGGGTGTCCCGGAACTCTCTACCAATATTTTAGGGCATTGCTCCTGGGTAAGAAACATACCTAAATATCATATTTAAATTGTCCGGAAGTCCTTAGTTACTCACACAGCCACCATTTTGTTTTTTCCAGTTATTAATTTTTTTCTAATGAATGGTTAAACATACGAAATGAAAACTTTGCACAAACATTAATGACAACTAGACAAAGCTACAAAAAAATTATGAAGATTTTTCAAATTCATAAAACAAAATGGCGACCATTTAAAATGTTGTTTCTTAAATAGCTCAAAAACCGTTGATTTTATAAAAATTTTAAATGGCCGCCATTTTGTTTTATGAATTTGAGAAATCGTCATAATTTTTTTGTAGCTTTGTCTAGTTGTCATTAATGTTTGTGCAAAGTTTCCATTTCGTATGTTTAACCATTCTTTAGAAAAAAATTAATAACTGAAAAAAACAAAATGGTGGCTGTGTGAGTAACTAAGGACTTCCGGACAATTTAAATATGATATTTAGGTATGTTTCTTACCCAGGAGCAATGCCCTAAAATATTGGTAGAGAGTTCCGGGACACCCTGTATAAAAGAGAAACTATGTATGTATACGTATGTATATACGTTATAGACTCCGAAACCGCTCGACAGATTGTAATGAAACTTTCAGGCATTCTATTCAAGGATCTTTCAAGGATGGTTTGTGTAAAGTTTGGTGCAGATCCGTCAAAAGGGCTCCGCCCCAGAGGGTTTTAAGTGGGCCAATGTCAGACTTTTTGAACTACAATGTTTACAAATAAATCTATATTTATAAAAGAGGAAGTTTGTATATATGTATATATATTAATAAGCAAAATAATAAAAACCAGAGTACCCTGAAATTCATTTTTATTTAAACTGATACGTATTTCGGCACTAAGGCCATGATCACAGTATGAGCTATATGTATATATATATATATGTGTTTGACCGTTATGGACTACAAAACCGCTCGACAGATTGTAATGAATCTTTCAGGCATTTATTTAAGGATGGTTTGTGTGAAGTTTGGTGCAGATCCGTCAAAAGGGCTCCGCCCCAGTGGCTCTGGAGTTTCCCATGTTAACCTTATTGAGTACTCATATTTAAATAGAATTAAAGAATCTTAACACCTGTTTCAACTAAAAAATTTGATTCTGTGATGATCAATAGCATTAAAAGGTTACAATATCTACCAAAAGGGTGCAGCACTATTAATTGTCAAAATTTATGACAACAGTTAGTTTCTAATCCCAACCAAGCAGCTGTGATACAAAATTAGAACTGTCAAAGTAAGATTGTGTTTTATGTTTATGTTTTTAATTTAATAAATAATTTTTTGATAGTGTGTAAATAAGGAGTTTTAATTTTTAAGTGCGTAATTCATTAACGTATTGACTTTCTTTTTTCCAAAATGTTTATAAAAATAAAAAAATCTATTGTACCCTATTTGTATGGTTTATTACCCAAAAAATAATGTCTGGCATACGAAAGTAATATTTTAAGTTAATTGAGCGGAGCGAGCGAAGCTCTTATACGTCGACTCTTATGCATTTCGTAATACGCAAACTCCTCCTAGACGGCTGAATCAATCGTTTTCAAATTTTGCATGGTGATAAAGACCATATCGGTGAGTGCCAACATCTATATGGCGTTAAAAAAGTCTCTCAGGAATCCGCCCCACTGGGTCTCAAAGTTTCAATGTAATCCTTATGGAAGCAGTATTTGACACATAAACAAAGACATAAATGATCAGCTGTTGACTTTTGAATGCAGTAGATAAAGAAATAGCTGATAGCATTATTCCACAGATATTAGAACAGAAACGGTATGGATCATAAATATTATAATCAAATGATGACACTAGCTTGAGCTCCGTGACGTATGAAGTGGTGAAGGAAGTAGTAAAGGTGAGCAGTCTGGAGTATGGAAACTGTTTATGACGATTAGATTAAGGTATCTGCATCCCTAAAATTCTATGGGAAGGGAGGAAAACAGGTCCGCGACGTAGGAAGTGGTGAAGAAAGTAGTAAAGGCTAGCAGTCTGTAGTGTGGAAACTGTTTATGACGATTAGATTAAGGTATCTGCATTCCTAAAATTCTATGGGAAGATAGGAAAACAGGTCCACGACGTAGGAAGTGGTGAAGGAAGTAAGGGCGAGCTGTCCGGATTGTGGGAACTGTTTATGACGATTAGATTAAGGTATATGCAATACTAAAATGCTATTAGAAGGGAAGTAAACAGGTCCGCGACGTATGAAGTGGTGAAGGAAGTAGTAAAGGTGAGCAGTCTGGGGTTTGGAAACTGTTTATGACGATTAGATTAAGGTATCTGCATTCTTAAAATTCTATGCGAAGGGAGGAAAACAGGTCCGCGACGTAGGAAGTGGTGAAGGAAGTGGTCAAGGCGAGCTGTCCGGAGTGTGGGAACTGTTTATGACGATTAGATTAAGGTATCTGCAATCCCAAAATGCTATTGGAAGGGAATGAAACAGGTCCGCGACGTATGAAGTGGTGAAGGAAGTAGTAAAGGTGAGCAGTCTGGGGTGTAGAAACTGTTTATGACGATTAGATTAAGGTATCTGCATTCCTAAAATATTATGGGAAGGGAGGAAAAGAGGTCCGCGACGTAGGAAGTGGTGAAGGAAGTAGTAAAGGCGAGCAGTCTGGAGTGTGAAAACTGTTTATGACGATTAGATTAAGGTATCTGCATTCCTAAAATTCTATGGGAAGGGAGGAAAACAGGTCCGCGACGTAGGAAGTGGTGAAGGAAGTAGTAAAGGCGAGCAGTCTGGACTGTGGAAACTGTTTGTGACGATTAGATTAAGGTATCTGCATTCCTAAAATTCTATGGGAAGGGAGGAAAACAGGTCCGCGGCGAGTTAGGAAGTGGTGTAGGAAGTAGTAAAGGCGAGCAGTCTGGAGTGTGGGAACTGTTTATGACGTTTAGATTAAGGTATCTGCAATCCTAAAATGCTATGGGAAGGGAGGAAAACAGGTCTGTGACGTAGGGTGTGGTGAAGGAAGTAGTAAAGGTGAGCAGTGTTGAGTTTGGGAATGGATTAATGTATCTGCAATGCTAAAATGCTACGGGAAGAGACTGTAGACTGTATGTTAAATTGATTTTGAAGCACGAATCGATAGACATTCTCGATACATGCAATTG